GTGCTTTCCCTAGTTTCCTAATTATTTTTTTAACTACAAAGACTTATGATTTATTGTTATCATATAGATCTGTTGTAGGCTTTTCGCATTTAATTCCTTTTTACAAGAGAAAGTATAAAGCTGAAAAGAGTGTGGAAGGAAGGAAAAAAGGAAGGATAGAAAGAAGCTGTATCTCAATATTTAAGAGAAGATAGAATGAATGTATTCACAATTAAGAATTTGTGAACCTAACAGTAAAACAGAAGGTTGGAATTTTGTTTGGAGTTTAGAAATATGTTACCTTAAATATAGTTTATTTATATTATCAGGTTATTCTGGTGTCCTTTTCTTATATTCTTTCCTTATTAGCTTATATTTGTCTGAAACAATTAGCTTTTTTCTACCCTGGTGAATACTACAGACTCTGTTCTTTGGTTTTTATAAGGACTATTTTCTGCTCTTTTGAGAATTCACTGTTATAACTTAAATGTGGGCTAGATGCTATCCTAATAATTTTTTACTTAAATTAGTTAAACTTAAAGAAACAACAACTAGTTAACTTAAAGCACCTTATGAATTGCATTGCATTTACCTCTAACTGTGGTTTCTTAGGGCAAAGTAATATTTTTGAAGTGTTAAAATTAGCATTTTATGGACTCACCTCTAAGATATGATGGTCTCTTTTTTCCCCAGACATTTATGTTGTCAAATTCTTGATTCCCTGTTCATTTATTCTTGTGTTATGTGTGCTTTTGTATTTGTGTGTGTATTTGTGAACGGACTAAGCTTTGATCCTTAGTTTTGACAATCATACTGTAGAACTCAGATACTGATCATGATTGAACTGGGGATATGATATTTAAGTTTGAAGATTTCAAGATGATTGGTATTAATGTGGATGAAATAGCAGAATCACTTTTTAAAAAATGGTATTTCTTGGGTCCTTTTCTATTACACTGAATCTAAATTTCTTCATGTAGGTCACCAGATCCCAGTTAGTTTTTTGTTTTTAAATTTTTTTTTCAGTTGTAAATGGACACAATACCTTTATTTTGTTTATTTATTTTTATGTGGTACCGAGGATCGAACCCAGAGCCCCACACATGTAAAGTAAGTGCTCTACCGCTGAGCCACAACTCCAGCTCCCCCTCCCCCAGTTAGTTTTTTGTATAGCAAAATTTGAGAATTTCTAATAAGGTATGTTAATGGAGTAAATTTTGTGCTCAAGGTAATATTCTATGAATAGCATTAATCAATCACATTTGTAAATACTAGTCTGGGAGTAAATACTAGTCTGATATGGAATTTATCACTAATTGTTGATTTTTATGTGCATTTGGGAAATACAGAGCTACTGAAGGCAGATGGGAAAGTAGTGCACTATCACATCTAAATAGCAGCTAAGCCTGATAATGATTATGGTCTCAGTGCTTTTAGCTGTAACATGGAAAATAAGACAGTCTCTTGATAATATTATTCATTCTTTAGTTACAGTGTTCTTTGAGATACAAAGCCATAGAACATCTTTGCAAAAGTTTGACCAAATGGTAAAATTATGTTCCTTTATAGAAATTAATATAAGACATTATATAAAGTAACATGTGAAAGTACTTTCTCTTTTTGACATCCTTTCACTACATAAGGGTTAATTTTGTTTATTAAGTTTTGAGTATACTCTTCCAGACCTTTTCTCTGCTCATGCACATATGTGTTTATATATAAATATATGTGCATTCACATAAACATGTGCATTCAAATATACATATTTATCTTTTAAATATTGATATATACATATTGTTCTTCATCTCCAAAGTTCATAGTAATTACATTTTCTTATCATTATAGTATATTAACAGCCTTTAATAATTTTATGATTGTTGTGGGGAAATATTTTTGCTGTTAGTGAATTTAAACATTTTTGTCTTCATTTTTTTGTTAAAAATTCAGATATTTTTGAGAGGCTATGGTGATTTTAAGAAATATTCTTTTAGTAATGTTTATACAAACATATTTGTAAAATATAATAGTACTTTAATCTATTAATACAAATTTGCCATAGATGTTTTCTCTTTTTACATTATACTCTAGACTTTTGGGAACATTTGTCCTATTTCTATTGTCTACTTTTTTTTTTTCTGATTACTATGATATTCTGTTAATCTATCAATTCTGTTAATCTATCGGGTTGTCAGCTGTTTTACTTTAATTCATTCTTTACTACAGGAATAATTTTCTTTAGTATAGCTTTAATCATGGCATTCATTCCTTTGTTTGGAAACTTTCAGTGATATCATATTTATTGCTGAACAAAACCTCTTTCCTAGCAGAGCATTTGAGATTTGTTCAGTTCTACTTTATCTTTACCTTTCAAGAATTACCTTGAGCAACTTTCCTTGAATCTTACTTCATATTGTAGATAATTTGTTTTCCTTCTTTTAGAGTCATATTCTCCTGGCATCATACTTTTATCATTCTTGTTCTTAATCAGCAGCAGAAGCTGAGTGGCTGATTGAACAGTTGAGGAATTTATTTAAGGGTACTTGGTACTTCATTGACTTTCTGGGAGGATTGAATAACCATGCTTTAGGTTAAACTTCCTGGTAACATGCCTTATATCACACCAAAGAACAATTATCTTTCTGCTAACCAAACACTGGAAGAATCTACTAGTGCTGCTCAACTGCTGCCACTTATTATTTAGGAAACATGATTTTGTGCCCACTGTGGGGCCTCTTCTGGTGCTGCCTTTGTGGAAAACTGATGCATTTGCTATTGCCTATACCAGCTATGAAATACTAACTCTACCTAGAGCCTATTTTTTTCAAACTGAAGTGTTTTGCAGGAGCTTCTGAATGTCTTTATCGTAGGTGCAGGATGTATTGGGAATGTGAGTTCTAAAATTTATTTTGGGAGTTTGAACTCAAAATGTGAGAACTTTCCAAAAAAATGGAAAGACTGCAGAATCTGTTGGGCACCCTTTACACATGATAAATTCACTCTGATACTTTTGCTCATATCCCTCCATTTGTAATATGTTTCACTTTTTATCTCTAGGTGAACAATTTCTGTGCAAAGACCAATTGGAATATCATTTTAAAAATTAATCTGCCTGGCTCATACTCATCTGAATTTTCTTATACATTATAAACATTTATTTTACCTTTATTTCTTTAATAAAACAATATCACAGCACAGAAGTGGTATTTAGATATACTCTGGTATAGGAGACAAACAGATATAGAAATATATAGAATAAAATGTGAAAGTAGCCTTTTACCATTCATCTCCAGCCTCTCACCAATTCAGATTTGCTGTCCCATTTGTAAATATGCCCTGATAACATTATGATCTTTGACTTTAATTTGGTATATATAATGATGATTTGGCTCTTTATGATAAATTCATTGAGTGTAGAGACCTTTTTGTTTTCTGGTCTTTCTTTCTTTTTTTTTTAATATTTATTTTTTAGTTCTCGGCAGACAAACATCTTTGTTGGTATGTGGTGCTGAGGATCGAACCCGGGCCACATGCATGCCAGGCGAGCGCGCTACCGCTTGAGCCACATCCCCAGCCCTCTGGTCTTTCAATAGTAAAACTATTCATATGTGTAGAGTAGTAGATATAGGGACTTTTGAAATAAGGCAATAGATATTCAGACATTTTGAAAGTAAAAATTTACAACTTGGCATTTAATGAACATAAAGAAAAAGACAGGCATTGGAGTAGATGCCAAGATTCTAGCTTGGGATTGTATCATTGATGATACATTTAAATGATATTGGAAATGTCGGAACTACTCTGTCTCTGCAAATTTTTCCTAGACCCTTTCTTATTGTAGGAGCTCCTTTATTCACATTTCTGAATTAGAGTTGGGGAAGGTGCTAAAAAGTTCAGATTTGCCATAGAGTTCTATAGTTTAGGAGAGACTAGAAAATACCACCTTCACCTCGAGTTGTGTCTGAGACGTAACTGTTAGAGTATAAGTAAAAACTCTTAATGTGGAGATGAATTTTGTTTCTTTTAAAGGCACAATACTTTGATTAAATAGGATAAATATGGAAATGTTTCCCAATCATTTTTTATCCTTACTTATACTTTATTATGTAAGCATATTTAGAAAATGTTTTTAAAGTGTGTTAACATTTCTGATAAACCTGAAGCTATAGTAAGAATTCCCGTTTCCTTATTTTTGAGGAAGTACTGAGAGAGAGATTTAGGATTAGGAGAGAGAAATATTGAATCTTGAAGGAAACACCCACAGGTCACTGAGATACAGAAAACACACTTTTAAATATTGAGCAACATGTCTTTAGCCCATGCCCTGGTCCATGCTCTTGTAAAATGAAGGAAACACATATGCACTTTGAAAACTGGCATGAAATTCTGCTACCCTGTCTTCACCTTCCATACAGCCTCTGGTGCATCTCTTCTATAAATATTCACCCCAACCCAAGTCAGGGCTTCTTCCTCTTGAGATAGCCTGCACTCTCTTCTGAGTATATCTACCTTCCTAAATAAATCTCTGTCTATTACTTTGGCTAATACTGGAATTCTTTTCCATTGCTTCTGCCAAGAACCCAGTGCTCCTGAGTTGAGTTCTTTCTCTCCTCTGGGAACTCCTTGGACCCTCTCCGGAGACCTCTCTTCTCCCATGACATTACCTCTGAAAAAACATGATGGGAAACCATATTTAGATTTCTCTCTAGCATTTTGCCTTTTATCTTATTCTCTTTTATCTGTTAATTGTAACTAATTTGGCAATCTTTTCTCTTTCCAGATCATTCAACTTCAAGTGGCCCGTTATCTTTTAAGCCTAGTCGATCACTGGTTACTCTTCCCACTGCCCATGTGATGCCGTCTAACTCCAGCGCTTCAATTTCCAAACATAGGGAATCATTAACATCAGATGGCTCAAAATGGAGTACAAGCTTCATACAGACTTTGGGAGACCACAGTACAGGGGAGCAGGACTCTTCACTAGACATGAAGGACTTCCGGCCTCTTCGGAAATGGTCATCTTTATCCAGACTCACTGCCCCAGAAAACTGCAGCCAAGGTAGCACTGTACACAAGGAAGAATTGAGGAATGGTTTGGAAAAGACAGGGAGAGGCAAGACTTTAACATCACAATTAAGGACTATTGGGCCTAGTTGCTTACATGACAGTATGGAGATGCTTAAGCTAGAAGACAAGGAAATAAATAAAAAACGGTCATCAACTTTGGATTGCAAGTATAAATTTGAGAGTTGTAGCAAAGATAACTTCAGAGCCTCTTCCTCTGCTCTTAAGAGACAGACCTTAGATATGACATACAGTGCCTTACCTGAGAGCAAGCCCATTATGACAAGCTCAGAGGCTTTTGAATCTCCAAAATATTTAATGCTTGGTCAGCAGGCAGCAAGTGGAGTTCCCATTCAGCCTTCTGTGAGGACTCAGATGTGGCTTACAGAGCAGTTAAGGACAAACCCTTTGGAAGGTAGAACTACGGAGGACTCTTATAATTTAGCTCCTTGGCAACAACAGCAAATTGAAGAATTTCGACAAGGAAGTGAAACACCAATGCAGGTAAGGCTCAAAACCTAGTATTTGCTTCCCTCCAGTGGATGTTGTGCACTTTGCAGGAAGCATCACAATCACTGATTATTTTGCCTTTTCTGTCTTATGGAAGCATAGAAGTTATAAATTTGAAAAGTTTTGCGTTGATTAAAAAAACTTACAAAGAAATTAGAACTAATTAACATGAAAAACTTAAAATTTCTACCTTAGTCTTTTCTTTCTCATTTGTTAAGTAGGCATAAAAATAAATAAAGCAAAGCATATATTCTAGGAAACTTAGAAACAAAGAAGCTGACACGGTATGATAGAAAGTTGACTTGGGATTACTAGATCTTGGATTTTATTTCTGGTTTTATCAGATTTAGAACCTGGATGATTTTTAACCTATTAATTTCTCTGGGCCTGAGTTCCTTCGTCTATAAAATGAGAAGGTAGAACTAAAGTCATTTTTAAAGTTTTGGTTACAGATGATATGTGTTTAGGTTTATAAATCCAGATATGCTTTTTTTTTTAATTAGAAAAATCAAGTGATGGTTGTTTCTTAATCAGCTTAAGGAAAAGGCTTTATGGTCATATAATATATAAAGAAAAAGTAGTTAGAGTCCCTAATGGGTCTACAGAATAACATATAAATGTATAAATTTCTTGATCTGGAAATGTCAACTGGGAATTTTAACCAGGAAACCAATTTTCTAACATAAATCTTGTCATCTACTTTTTATTACCAGAATTTTCTGAAATGAATTCTATCAAAAATTACAAAATTTCCCTAGAGTTAAAATTTTAAATTACTATTCATTACTACTAACAATAAAAAATGAAGAATAAAGTTCATGTAAGAGTAAAGAGATCACTTATCCAGGAAGATTGAACCCAGGTTATCATTCCTGGTAGGCCATTTTTTATAATCTTGATATTATATATATTTAAACCACATAAACAATGCATCATTTGGATGTTTAAATTACAAATTTTAAAAGAGTGCTTTAGCCAGATTTATTTGTGATTTATTCAAGTGATTAGAAAGATAGGATACCTTACTGTTCAAATACTATAACAGTTTTTAAATGTTTGTGATTATTGAAGAACAAGGATCAGACAGTTGTCTTTCTAGCAGGTGTCTTTACATAGAATTGGAGCTGTTCATGGGGATGAGTATACATACTACTCCAAACTGAAATACAGGATGATAAAAGAGAAATGTAACTGACAAAATTGGGCTTTTTTAAAGGAATGAATATTAATTTACTTATCCTTTTATTCTTCTTGGAGGAACGTCTGCTTTACCCAAGGTTTTCTCTAACTCTGAAGCAATATAGAGAGGTTAGGGAGATTGGAAGTGTATTGTGGAGAGAAATTTATTTTTAAATTTCCTTGCACAGGGGCTGGGGATGTGGTTCAAGCGGTAGCGCGCTCGCCTGGCATGCGTGCGGCCAGGGTTTGATCCTCAGCACCACATACCAACAAAGATGTTGTGTCTGCTGAGAACTAAAAAATAAATAAAGAAAAAAATAAATAAAAAAAATAAATTTCCTTGCATATATTGGAAGAATGAAGCTACTGTTGCATGAAACGTGTATGTGTCTCAAAGTTCCCTATTTCTTGATTAACCTTTTACAGGATGATCTCTTTATATAGTAATTTTAAATTTGAGAGTGGAATGATGAATTCAGGTAAAGAACACTAGATAATTCAGTTGCAATTTATGGGGTATGGGTGAGGTGGGGAAAAGGGGTACTGGGAATCAAAATGGTGTCATGCATACTAGTCAAGTGCTCTACCATGGAAGCTACAATCCTGGCCCTTCCGTTACAATCTTTGAATCACTGTTTCTCTTCTAATTTCTTTCATGGTCTACTACAGAGAAAGATTATTAATTAACTTCTCTTTGGTGTCTCCAAGTATTATCTTTATTTTACATATTCTTCTCATGATTATTTCTTAAAAATCTCTTTGAAGCATTGATTGAATTTACTTTTAGTGTAGTTTTTACATAAAGTGAACAACCTTATTAAGGATCAGTCCATCTGATAATCAGGATTTTTTTCAGTCAAAACTGCTCAACTCTCACCATGGGAAAAAAAATCTTCTACATCAAAGAAAAAGAATTTGGCTTAAAGTCATGATCTGATAACACAATAGATTATATAAAATTTTGTGGCAGCTTTCAGAGTGTTGATCTCATTTGCTCTTCACAGGTCTACTATTCCCCAAAAGTTAATTTGTAATAAGGAAGGCTTGCTCTCTTTAGGACTTAATCCAGAACAATTATTGAGTCAGCCACACATACATAAGTTCATTGATTTTCTTGATTCTTGCTAAGTCATCTTAGAGTTGAGGTCGTATAGAATTCAGAAGCATATCCCTTTATGAATGAAGAGAAGCCATATATGCCCCCATTTGGATTAGAATATAGGGCTCCATATGCAACTTCTACCCCTAGTCTTTGGTTCTTTTCTTCTCTAGTCCATTACTCCCCACCCCGCCATGACTGACTCTAAGTATTATGACAGAAGAAAAAAGCAAAATCTTGACTTTTTTTAGGGAAATATACTTCCCTTTCCTTCCAGTGCATTCCTTAGTTTGGAGATAGAGGGATATCTGTTGGGTTCCTACACATCCACAGTGGATCTCCCCAACAGTAGTAAAGTAGTGGTGTATTATAGTTTAGATATTAGGTATTCCCCAGAAGGTTATGTGTGAGAACAATGCAAGAAAGTTTTTTGAGGTGGAATGATTGGATTATGAGAGCCTTAACCCAATCAGTGTGATAATCCCCTGACAGGGATTAACAGGGTGGTTAACTAAAGGCTGGTAGGGTGTGACTGGAAGAAGTGGATCCCTGGAGGCATGCTTTTGGGGTATATATTTTGTATCTGGCAAGTGGAATCTCTCTCTCTTTCTCTTTCTTTCTGCTTCTTGGATGCCCTTGTTCCCAGCTGCTTTCCTCTATCAAACTTTTCTACCACAGTGTTCCACCTCACTCAAGCCCTGAGTAATGGAACCAGCTATCTTGGCTAAGGCCTCCAGAATTGTGAGCACCCAAATAAACTTTTCCTTCTCTGAAATTGTTCTTGTCAGGTCTTTTTGTTTATCCCTTTTTCTCTTTATATTCCCGGAGATATTTTGGTCTTGAAATCATTAAAAAGTGGAAGATGAAATTTTGTGCTTATTTAAATCATAAAGTGACTTGCTACTAATCAAAATATTCATACCTGTTTTCACCTTTTTTTTTTGGGGTTTTTTCTCCTATATAAATAAAATAATTTGACAAAATGACCTAAAGGATAACCTGGGAGTGTTTCATGTATTTTATTACATTCTTAAGTTTTCTTATTTTTATTTTTTATCTTTACATTCTATTTTTTTTTACTATCTGATATAATCTTGGTGGATATTAGGGCATTTCCTATAGATGGGATATTAAATTATGACACGTTCATTAGCTGATTTTATATACACATAGTAATGTGTTTGATTTTCTATTTGTCACCTTTTCTATATAGTTTGGCGTATAGCCTATTTTAAAATGTGTGGCTACTTAACATACAAGTAGATCCATTTTGAGATTTATCATATTCCCCTTTGTTAGAAAAATCAAAAATAATCAGGAGACTATTAGAGCATAGCAATTCACTACCTGATATAGGTCTGCCCTCTTGTGTTTATACTAGGAAATTGTTTATATTTTATTTGGGGAAAGTCCCCTCAAAAACCCTCTAAAGTATCAAAACTATTTATAATTAGAACATTTTATAGCAAACGTCATTCCTGAATAATGGAGCAGTTTTACTGAGTTCAAGAATATTCATTTTAAGATAGGTGATTCTGATTTATTTGCATTAAATATAAATTTTTAACCAATGAAAATATGAAAGACAGCATTAAACATTCAAAAATTAGTCATTTTTGTGTCCTATAAATTTAAGATTAGAATTCATTCCAAAGGAGAAAGTGTTTGAACATTTAGGACTTAAAAATTTTGGCACTTTAGTTATAGATTGACACAATACCTACCTACCTACCTTTCTTTCTTTCATGTGATGCTAGGCTTGAATTCAGTGCCCCTCACGTGCTAGGCAAGCACTCTACCACTGAGCCACAACCTCACATTGTTTTCTTTTACAGCTTGCTCTTTATATAACATGATAAAATGAGTTTCATTTAAAGAATAGGATTTTTTCCTACATTTTAATATAAATTATAGTATTCTGAAATCTTTGAAGTATGAGTTGTTAATTTTTATGAAAGAATAAAGAACAAAAATAATCTTTATTTGCATTTTACTGAGGTAAAACTCCCACAGTTAATAGTTTGAAATTGATGTTGTAATGAACAATATAATAAAGCACATAGAACTTATCAGTTGAAGTTTTCTGTTTTTTAATATCAGTATAGCTAATTATAGAATTTGGATACTGTTGCATAGGTAAATTCTGAGACCAGTGAAGTTGAGGTCTAATATAGGATTTATATGTTTTCTGGCTAGTATGAGACCCTTTTACTGTCTGCTCCTTAAATATTTACAAACCCAAACTGTTCCCCTTTCTATCTCCAGTACTTCTCAGGATTCCAAGAACTTAAAAGCAGTGTCTTCTTCACTATTCAGCCAACAACACTTGTCAATATTGATGTTTCAAATTCTTTTAGTAACCATATTTTGGAAATTTTAAGCTCTCATGATTTTAAGAATATACTATGGAAAGTTAGATATTATAGCTCAAATAATTTGCAACAGCTTTAAATTAGTTAGACTCTATGAGTATTAGTAATTATGGGAATCATACTATGAGATGTTAAGTTGATCACCAGTTCCTATGGCTAACTTACAAGTCGTAGAATTGTATAATTATTGAAAACATTAAGAGAAATTTTATTTATATAAGATTATGGTCTTACCCTTATTTGATTCTCCTACACTTCAAAACATGTTAATATAGTATAGAAAATAATATAACTATTTTAGAATGTAGGTTCTGACAAGGAGTTACTACCAAGACTTCTGTATAATAATGATGTAGTGACAATAATAATAATAGTAGTAGTAGTAGTAATAGATGTGAGGATCAGTGAGCTATTTTGAATAATAATACTTCATTTGTACTATTATTTTGGCACTTGTAAAGACCTGAAAAATACTTACAAAGAAGCTTTTACTGTGCAATGTAAATAACATTTGCCCCAAATTGTGAAGCTAAAATTTTATATATGAAGTGATTTTGTTAGTAGGGCTATTTCAAAATTAAACTCCTACTTCATCCTCAGAAAAGATTTAGGAAAGAAATTTATAAGCCATTTTGAGGAAATCAACAGTTACATTGTACACATGTATAGTCAGTTTTGAAAATGAAGCCCTTTTCATGTTTACAAGATCTAGCAAATACATTTACTAACAATTTGTTTTAATCTTGACCTTTTCATAAAGAAATTCTTCTTCTTGGGAAGCGGGCCATATTGTTTTCCCCTGTTCATGGGATGACATTTTAAACCAAAGTAGTAAGTTGCAGATCTGGAGTTTGCTGCAGAACTTCAGAGAAGCATCACGATGATGCAAATCAGCAAGAGACATATTAAGATGAGACAGAAATTGATAAACAGGTTCTGGAAATTTTGACGTGCTTGTTGAGGCATTTCAATAGTTGAGGCTCTTCTTATAGCAGAGCGAGTGAGATATTGGACTTTCTCCATGATGCCAGGAGGCAGGAAGTCAAGTTTTAAGCGGTCAAGAGAAAGATAAAAAGCTGGCAGTCAATCTGAGGTAACCGTCTCCTTTTAGGTAGCCTGGAATGTAAAAATAGTAAATAGATTAGGATCATATGTATAACCTGTTCTCTGAATAGGTAAAACACATTTGCATTAATTGTTCTTTTTCAACACTATATTTTGTATTTATAACATCAAATCTCTATAATGTGTGTATATGTCTGTGCATACATGTGTTTTTGTCTTTTTGGTGGGATAATATCATTACAATCTCATTTGTCTTTGTGTTTGGATTATGGTACAGCTTGTTTTGAGCTATTCCTTTGGGCAAAAATTCTTAAGTCTGTTTCTCTGTAAATATAATTGATATATATTAAAAATTCCAGAGCTAATCTCAGGGAATAGAAGTACATTTAAAAGTTATTCTTTAGATCTTAATTTTAGTCTGAAATATATTTCACTTGTTTGGCATTCCGCTTTATACTTTAAATGTCATTTCAACAAAATTTGTTATTATGTACTGAGGACTGTCAAGCACAATAGGTTTAGTAATTATTATTATCTTACTAGCTACCATGGGCAATTCTGTTCACAAATGTCTTGTACTTATGAGCAGTGGTTTATGTCAAGCCCTATTTCAGAAATCTCACAATCTCTTACTGCTTGTGGGGCCTAAGCTTTGATAATAAAAATAAAAATATATCAAACTAAGTATGGGGCTGGGGATGTGGCTCAAGCGGTAGCGCGCTCGCCTGGCATGTGTGCTGCCCAGGTTCGATCCTCAGCACCACATACAAACAAAGATGTTGTGTCCGCCAAAAACTGAAAAATAAATATTAAAATTCCAAAAAAAACTAAGTATGAATTAATTGTCCAGATGTAATGAGTAATAACATTTGAGAATTTTCTGTTTTCATTCAGAATCCTTATGTCAACTTTTGGGGTGGGAGGGGTACAGGGGATTAAAACAGTGGCACTAAACAACTGAGCCACATTCCCAGTCCTATTTTGTATTTTATTTAGAGATAGGGTCTCACTGATTTGCTTAGGGCCTTACAAAGTTGCTGAGCTGGCTTTGAACTGGTGATTCTCCTGTGCCACCCTCCTGAGCCACTGGGATTATAGGTGTATGCCATTGCGCCCAGCCCTTCTATGTCAGTTTTGAAGTAGGAAAAAATTAAAATTTTTAAGAAAATATAGCCAACTGTCCGGAAATGATAATGGTTAGCATTTATTGTCACATTATTGTTAACATGTTATTACTATATTGCCAGGTTTCATTTTTCACTTGGTTTTTAGACATTCTGGGAAAATCACCTAGAGTGCCATCCTAAACCTGATAGAGGCATATGCTAAAGAGAGCAAAGCAGAGAATGATGGAACAGGGAAGACATATATGAGGCACATAACTAGTTGGACTTTGGCATTTGGTTTTTTCAAAGAAACCATGTGGTATGTGGTAGTTAGATTCTGTAATCTTCAGTACTTTAAATTGTATAACAGAATGGGCTTCCATATGACTTGAGTCTCTGTCCTCCATCATAGTATAGAGCCATAGTAAGGAGTTATACAAAGCCAAATTTTATCAAACTTTATTCTCTTAAAGAGTTGACAACAACTTATATTTTGTCTAAAATACATTCTTTGTTGTTCAATGCAGGTAGCTAAACTTATCCGTAATATTTCCCACTTGGAAAATAGCAGCTTAAACTTGGCATATATTTAATTATTTAATATTTTCATCTCCAGATGAAAGCAGAAGTAGGGGGTATTTTCTTTTGTTCTTTAAGAAAATGTAACTTTATGTTATTTCTGCTTATATTTATTTTAATACCTAGTGGATTTATTGTAGTGAATTACTGTAGACCCAAGTGAAATTATACTATTAGGAAATCATTGGAGGATTTTCTTTATTCCTTTATATATATATATACATAATATAATATAATAATTTATATATATATATATAATATATAATCAGAATACAGTTGAGAAGAATTAGCACTGATAACTTCTATTTGAACTCACATATTTTTGTGGAATTTCAGGGCTTTTAACTGGTCTTAAAACATCAATTTTTAAAAATTATTTTAAGATAAACAAAAATTGGGAAAAGAGGGAGCTAGCTAGCAGTTTGTCATAAAGCATATATAAGGAATCATCCCCTATTCTGACTGAAGAATGGTACCTTCAGTCACATGAAATATGTCATGTTTCCATAAATACTATATTTCCTTTAAGGATTTTTCGTTCTTTGCACATGTTGTTCTGCTTCTGCCTGTAATGCCCTCAACCCCTACCCCTTTCCACCTTTTGGTTTTCTGCCAGGCAAACTCCAGTTGATATTTAAGGCCTAGTTTAAATATCATTTCCTAATAAAACTTTTCATTATTCATTAAGGTAGAATTGGTGATCACCTCTGCTGGTTTTTAGTAGGACTTCAGTGTATTTGTTTTTAAATATCTGTCAGTTTGTGTCTGTAAATTCAGTTTACATATTAATATCTTCAACTAGACTTTTAGTTAATAACTAAAGTAACCATGTATTCATTTTGTATCTTAGCACTCAATGCATAATTGGCACTATTTGATTAAATCAATAAAGTTGAAGATTTTTTTGACTAAAAAATTTAGAAGATTCTCAATGATCAGATTAACCAATTAGAAAAATAGAATTCAATAATTAAACTTGTAAGCTCTAATATGTTTTTCAAGTCTCCGCCAATCACAGATGAAGAAAATGAGACTTAGAGGATTTAAATCTATGTTTATGTATGGTCTTCTGATTAATACACTATTAACTTGAACTAGGCTTTGTGTAAAAAAAAAA